GATAATAAAAAATAAAAAATAATACAGCCTCTCCTCACTTAGCGATGTACTCGTTTACCGATGACTCAAACTTATGACGGGCTCTCTGACCAGTATGCATTTCTAAATAATGTATATAGCCTCTCCTCACTTAACGATGGAGTTCCGTTTATAAGACCACGTCGGTAAACGAATTCAATGCTAAGTGAGGAGCATACTGTCATGGTAGTGGGTTTGTGTCAACCATCTTTGATATTGTTTTAATGTCACCTTTGCACCATTTATAACATTTTTAGTATATTTTTTAAATGTTTATACAGTTGTAGAGTTACTGTGTATTGTAATAAACAGAATAGAGAAAATCAGTTCTAATATACATTAATTAGGTATGAATACTGGACAGAGAGCCTGTCGTAAGTCCAAGTCGTACGGTAGCGAGTACGTTGCCTAAGTGTGGTAAGAGGCTGTATTAGAGTGAGTTCCTCTATTATGTTTATTACATATACAGTACAGCATCTCACCTCACTTAGCAACGTAATTATTTACAAACGACTCTGGGACTTCTACGACGGGTTCTTGACCTATATGATACCTAATAATGTCTTTTTAGAGTGGATTTCCTCTATTCGTTTTATTACAATATTCTGTACAACTACTTGTTTAAACATTTAAAATGTTCTAAAAAGTTATAATGGTGGCAAAGGTGAATTTAATACAATATCAAAGATTGGCTGTGGTACACACAAACCCCACTACCATTATAGTATGCTCCTTGCTTAGCAACAAATTTGTTTACCGTTGTGGTTTTAAGAACGGAAACTTCCATCGTTAAGATATCTGCCATTCCCACCGAGGCAGGGTGACGCAATATAAAAAAGAAAACACTTGCACCATTCATTCACACATAATCACGGTTTTCTGCTGTGGGTCTCAGTTTGGCAGTTTAGATGTCTCTACATAACTGCCATTATCCCAGTCCCTCCTTTAAAGTGAAGGTTTTGTAATCTCATGACCTATGTCTTGCCTTCACTTTTTCTGCAATGTAGTGATAACCTATTTCTTTTTTCTAGCTTTATTTTTTTTTTTTTTTTTTTTTTTTTTTTTTTGTGTTTTATTACTAGTCGGCCCGTCTACCACCGTGGCAGGGTGTCACCATATATTATACGTTTAGTAATTCCCCTATAAAGTTATGTATGTCTTTCTTCTGTCTTCTCTTTCACCAATCGCGCTCATTGTTAACTCGTTTTTTGCTGTGGTGCTAAGTTTTACTTATGTAATGATGCTTATACCTTATTTAAGTTTCAATCATTTCCCTCCTATTATGCACATTATTCACTTTAACCACTAATGTTTTTGTGATGGCTTGGTTCTTCCCATTGGCCTAGGTCTCAAGTCCGACTATTTGAAAATCAACCGGTTTCCCCTGAATCCCTGCACTAAATATTACCCTGCTCACACTCCAACAGATCGTAGTACCAATGTACCATTCGTCTCTCATTCACTCCTATTAACACGCCTCACGCTCGCTTGATTGGGAAGCCAAGGCCCTTACCAACAAAACCTCATTTACCCCTCTCTCCAACCCTTTCGAGGACGACACCTACCCCGCCTTACCTTCCCTATAGATATTTATGTTTCCTTGTCATTCTACTGTGATCCATTTTCTCTATAAATGACCATACCACCTCAACAACCCCTCTTTCTGCCCTCTGAACTAATACTTTTATTTATTAACTCCACACCTTCTCCTAATTTCCTACACTCCCGAATTTTCTTTGCCCAATTAAAAAAATTTTTTACACCACACATTGCCCTTAATCAGGACATCTCCGCTGACTCCAACCGTCTTCTCGCTGCTGCATTTTCCACCCAAGTTCACCCACCATTTTATAAGAGTGTTGGTTACTACTTTACTTTCATACATTTCCCTTCTTTGCCTCTCATTAGATAACGTTTTTTGGACTACACATTTACCTCAAGCACCCACTCACATTTTTTCCCCATCAATTCTATGTTCCTACCTCATCTCATCAAATCCTTCCGCCGTCACGTCAATACTCCCACGTATCTGAAAACATTCATTCTTCCTACTCCTCCTCCCCCAATTTGATATCCAACTTTTTTCTTTAATCTAAATCATTTGACCACCCTCATCACTTACTCACCCCCCCCCTCTTCTATGTTCACTTTCATCTTTCTACTTTACACACATCTCCCCAAAACTCATCCCTAACTACTTGCATTTTTTCCTTTAGAATCTCCCAATAAGCTCAAGTAATCATCAGCATATACAAGTAATGTTTCAATTCCCATTTGAATTTGATTCCCATACTTTAATCCCACCCCTCTCCCAAAACACCTTGAGCATTTACTTCCTTTACAACCCCATCTATTAATATATTAAACAAACCATGGTGGACATTTCACATCCCTGTCTAAGACCTAAACTTTTACCGGAAGTAGTCTCCTTCTTCTACTCACCCTAACTGAGCTCACTATCCTCATTAAAAACTCTTTACAGATTTAAAAACTTACCCACATATTCCATTTACTTGCAACATCTGCTCACATTGCTCCTCTATCACTCTATCATATGCCTTTTCTAAAATCCATAAATGCAATAAAAACTTCCTATCTTTATCTAAATACTGTTCACATATATGCTTCAATGTAAACACCTGATCTACACATCCCCTACCCACTCTAAAACCTCCTGCTCATCCGCAATCTACATTTCTGTCTTACCTCTAATTCTTTCAATTATAACCCTACCGTACACTTTTCCTGGTATACTCAGTAAGCTTATTCCTCTATAATTTTTTACAGTCTCTTTTGTCCCCTTTCCCTTTATATAAAGGGACTATACATGCTCTTGCCAATCCCTAGGTACCTTCCCCTCTTTCATACATTTTATTAAAACAAAGTACCAACCACTCCAACACATATCCCCCCTGCTTTTAACATTTCTGTCATGATCCCATCAGTTCCAGCTGCTTTACCCCCTTTCATTTTACGTAATGCCTCACGTACCTCCCCACACTTACATTCTGCTCTTCTTCACTCCTAAAAGATGGTATACCTCCCTGACCAGTGCAATGAAATTACTGCCTCTGTTTCTTCCTTAACATTTAAAAGTTCCTCAAAATATTCTCGCCATCTACCCAATACCTCCATCTCCCCATCTACTAACTCCCCTACTCTGTTTTTAACTGACAAATCCATATTTTTCCCTAGGCTTTCTTAACTTGTTTAACTCACTCCAAAATTTTTTCTTATTTTCATTAAAATTTCTTGACAGTGCCTCTCCCACTCTATCATCTGCTCTCCTTTGCACTCTCTCACCACTCTCTTTACCTTTCTTTTACTCTCCATATACTCTGCTCTTCTTATAACACTTCTGCTTTGTAAAAACCTCTCATAAGCTACCTTTTTCTCTTTTATCACACCCTTTACTTCATCATTCCACCAATCACTCCTCTTTCCTCCTGCCCCCACCCTCCTATAACCACAAACTTCTGCCCCACATTCTAATACTGCATTTTTAAAACTATTCCAACCCTCTTCAACCCCCCCACTACTCATCTTTGCACTAGCCCACCTTTCTGCCAATAGTCGCTTATATCTCACCCGAACTTCCTCCTCCCTTAGTTTATACACTTTCACTTCCCTCTTACTTGTTGTTGCCACCTTCCTCTTTTCCCATCTACCTCTTACTCTAACTGTAGCTACAACTAAATAATGATCCGATATATCAGTTGCTTTATTACATTAGCTTTATTACATTAGAAAATTGAGCTCTTATATTTCATAATTTCTAAAAAAATTACACAAAAGAGGCTTTCAATTTTGGGGTTGCTGACAGCTTAAGGGTTAATTCTGATAACAGTATGTAGGATAATGAAGCAATCACTCTGTACATTGTACAGTTTATTGCTTTTACATGTCAAACCAAGTTCTCATTTATATTATACAGTGGAACCCCGGTTGTCGTCCAGTCTGGTTATTGTACAATTCAGTTTTCGACCACTTTTTTCAGCGAATTTTTCCCCCCGTTTTTGTACATGCGCTCAGAAATTATCCGTAACAGACGTGTCTGCCTGCCCACGGGACACGGCGACTCATACGTTTGTGACTCAGTCTGCCTTTGTTACTCGTAGAGGGTGGTAGTGATGGTGGTAGAGGGTGGTAGTGATGGTGGTAGAGGGTGGTAGTGATGGTGGTAGAAGGTGGTAGTGATGGTGGTAGAAGGTGGTGGTAGAGGGTGGTAGAAGGTGGTGGTAGAGGGTGGTAGAAGGTGGTGGTAGAGGGTGGTAGAAGGTGGTGGTAGAGGGTGGTAGAAGGTGGTGGTAGAGGGTGGTAGAAGGTGGTGGTAGAGGGTGGTAGAAGGTGATGGTAGAGGGTGGTAGTGATGGTGGTAGAGGGTGGTAGTGATGGTGGTAGAGGGTGGTAGTGATGGTGGTAGAGGGTGGTAGTGACAGTGGTAGTGATGGTGGTAGAGGGTGGCAGTGGTGGTGGTAGAGGGTGGCAGTGGTGGTGGTAGAGGGTGGCAGTGGTGGTGGTAGAGGGTGGTAGTGATGGTGGTAGAGGTGGTGGTAGTGGGTGGTAGTGGTTGTGATGGTGGTAGAGATAACCTCTCCCCTCCTCGCCATCTTCCATATGCCAACAAGTCTCCAATGAAGGTAAAAGTGATTGAAATGTTCATTTATCCATTTCATTAGTGCTTCATATTTCTCATTGTTTTCTGTATGTAAAACTATAGTTATTCTCTATAAAATGTGTTTTTTATTAATATTTTTGGGTGTCTGGAACAGATTAATTGGATTTACATTATTTCTCATGGGAAATATTACTTCCGTTTTCATACAAATCGGTTTTCGGCCAACATTCTGGAATGGATTAAAGATGAAAGCCAGGGTTTCACTGTATACTGTATTTTAGATACTAAAATATTTCCAAAAATTAAGAACTTTGAAAGCCTTTGCATAACAACACACTACAGTACAAATTAAAAATATACTAACCCTAATGAAGGTTTCTAGACAGTCAATAAAATTTGTACCATTGAAGGGATCACCACCAATTCCAATACATAGCGTTTGTCCAAGGCCCACAATGGTGGTTTGATGAACTGCTTCATAAGTAAGCGTGCCTGATCTTGACACTATGCCGATGCAGCCCCTTTTGTGAATGTGTCCAGGCATAATACCAATCTTACACTGGAAAAAATGCATTTTTTTTTAGAATTTCTTGAATATTACTACAGTGGTACCTCAAGTTTCGAACAGCTCCCAACTTGAACAATTATGTAAGTGTATTTTTGTAAGTGCTTTTGTAAGTGTACTTTTGGGGGTCTGAATTGGACTAATCTAATTTACATTAGTGCTTATGGGAACAAATTCATTCGGTATCGGCACTTGAACAGCCTTCTGGAACGAATTAAGTTCGTAACTCGAGGTACCACTGTACATACCTTAATTTCCATCATACAAGATGCAACCTGAGTTTAATTAGCTTTCTGAGGTAAAACTTATAGCACATTTTATCAAACATTTATTTACTATTTACAAATTAACATACTGTACTTTGTAGTAATATTTGGCAAAATGTAGGCAATATTTCAATGAACATGATGCATCAACAAAAAAAGATGCATGAAGGTTAAGAAATTTTAGTACAAGTTGACCATCACTAATCCGGCATCATCAGAACCTGGTTAGGTTAGAATACACTTAACCCAACAGTGATATTTATGCACTGGCAATTTTGCCCACTTTACACCCTATTTTTGGCCCATTCTATTATTCCAGTTGACCAAACTCGTACATATTTCGATAGTATTCCTTCTATTCTGTCGACCGAGTATAAGAAAACGCACATTTACCTATTTCAACTACCCAATAAAGTGATCAGAAATCGGTAGTTTGGCTTCTTTCACACAAATTTCAAGAGATACCAATTTCAAAATAGGGTCCAGAATAAACACTACAGACATTCCTGGTACTAAAATAACGTTTTTCTCTGCTCATTAGTCACGTCTCCAGGCCCCTCTTATATTGTGCTTGCTTTCCATTTTGAATTTTTATTCACACAAAAAATAGACGATTTACTGTTATGCAGACTACTGCATTATTATAATAATTGTATAAATGATGTCAACCCATTCATGACCTCATATTAGACTGGCCAGTTGGACACACATTGGATACATGAAGTGATCTGTTTATTCTTGAACATCAGCAAAATTGAACATTTCCACTGCTTCGAGCTCAATTTCAAGGTACACCTACCATCCGACTTATGACCTGCTCGACTTACGACCACTCGACTTACGACCGTGTTTTTTATGCCAAATTTCTGGGAAATAAACAACTATTTGTGTTGTACACAGTGTTTATCCTAAACCTTACAGTATAAAATACAGTACTAACAACATAAAAAGTAAAGTAAAACATGAAATACCAAAATAAAACAATAAAATAAAGTTATTACAAAAATGTTTTGTTGATATTCAGTAGTAAAGTTCGACTTACGACCATTTCGACTTACGACTGGTTTCTCGGAACCGAACTCGGTTGTAAGTCGGATGGTAGGTGTACTTTCTGTCCTGAAACCAATTAAAATCATCTCTATTCCTGGAAAAAATCTTCCATTCTATCAAATGAGACCAAAAATATGAGAATACAACCATAAAAACCATACAAAAATACACCGCAAAGTCGCTGTTTTACACCAAAGACACAGTTGCATTTTTTCTCATTATGCATGGCGTACTGCAGGATTTTTTTTTATACAGTGCACACCTACCACACACACCTCTTCTTTCATATGTAGGCCCAAATTTACCGCCCACAACTTATACGAAAGAGCTGAGCTCATGGCGTCATACTACGGGACCATCAGTGGCTCAAAGCCCTCTTATCTTTTAGAGACAATGTACAGTGCTTGCAGTTTACACAATGAAAAGAATTTCCTTTATTTGTTGGAACCATGGCTACTGCTAAAAGTGAGCAGGTTATAACAATAAATGGAGAAAAACAAATTGAATGACTTAAACAGAAAGTAGCACCACCAAACAGTAGCGGCAGGTTGGTGCGGCAGCCCCAGAAATTTGAAATTATGCTAGCTGAAATTAGTGCTGGATTACTGATGGAACCAGATTAGTGATGGCCAACCTGTACTAACAATACCTGATACTGTACATACAGTAATGGTAAATACTGTTATGAAATAATACTTTAACAAATTTTTTTTTTTTCCAACAAGTCGGCCGTCTCCCACCGAGGCAGGGCGACTCAAAAAAGAAAGAAAATCCCCAAAAAGAAAATGCTTTCATCATCATTCAACACTTTCACCACACTCACACATAATCACTGTTTTTGCAGAGGTGCTCAGAATACAACAGTTTAGAAGCATATACGTATAAAGATACACAACATATCCCTCCAAACTGCCAATATCCCAAACTCCTTCTTTATAGGTAGTAGGTTGGTAGACAGCAACCACCCAGGGAGGTACTACCGTCCTGCCAAGTGAATGTAAAACAAAAGCCTGTAATTGTTTTACATGATGGTAGGATTGCTGGTGTCTTTTGTCTGTCTCATAAATATGCAAGATTACAGGTACGTCTTGCTACTTCTACTTACACTTAGGTCACACTACACATACATGTACACGTTTATTTATACACACTCATTTGAGTTTTCTTTGATTTTATCTTAATAGTTCTTGGTCTTATTACTTTTCCTTTTATATCCATGGGGAAGTGGAATAAGAATCTTTCCTCCGTAAGCCATGCGTGTTGTAAAAGTCAACTAAAATGCCGGGAACAATGGGCTAGTAACCCCTTTTCCTGTAAAGATTACTAAAAAGAATAAGAAGAAAATTGTCTAACAAATATGAAATAAAAAATCAAACTTAGCAAAAAGAAAATAATGCAATGCTATATCCATGACAAATGTAAAAGGGCAAAAAAAAAAAAAAAAAAAAAAAAAAAAAATTTACGGGAAAAAAGGGTATTTTTTTTTCCCCTACTAAAAAAACCCCTGATCACTACGGGTAAATTCTCTATATCACGCTAAATATCTTTTTTTCCACCTTCAAAAATGTTTAGTTTTTTATTGTTTTGACCCCCAAAAGCCCAAAAAAGGGGCCCAAAGGCGGTTGCCGCTGGTGGCCTGCTGACCGTTTTTCATCACGCCTGGTTGATTGGCACCTGGTGAAGATACTTTTTCCAGTTTAAAGCTTAAGAAACATTCCCCCAAATTTCTGATTTTTTTGGTAAATGGTGAACCCGGGAAGGCCACAGAGGGTTAAAATAAATGTTCTTTTTTTGGGCCCCAGTCCCCTTTACTTTTCACGGTTTTTATGTTGCACTTCCTTTCATATCTCCCTCGGTAGTTGTTCGGCAGTGGGGGTTTTTGGGAAAAGGCCCTCGTTTTTCCCAAAAGTACAAACCATTTATTAACGGGTTGCTTCCCTTGTAAAAAACCGTGTTGGGAAAAATCCATGCGAGATGAACGAAAAATTTTATGGAAAATGGGGTTACTTTCCTGGGAGCCCAAAAAAAGAACCAAAAATTTTTTTTTTTTTTTTTAGATCTCCAAAACTTCCCAAAAATAAAAGTGAATATAAATTGTATTTAAATGCCCTTAAATAAATTTTTGTTTTTAGGGTTTAAGAACAAATAAATATAAAAAATAGTACTTTTTTACTTTAAATTGGGGGGGGGCTGGTGTTTGGTTAAATTGTAAAAGAGATTTGGGAGATTTTTGGGCGGGGTCCTACGGGGCTGAGGTGGATGGAAAGGGGGCCTGGTATGAAGTTAATGTATTTGGGTGTGCAAAATTCTATAATGGATTTCGGGGCCTTTTTACCCTCCCAGTAATTTATACAGCTGTTGGAAAGGGTATCAGCTGTTTTAAAGGGCACTGTTTCACAGTATTTCTTCTAGATTTGAAAAGGGCCCCCCTTCAGTAAAAAAGTTTTAAAAATAAGTCAGTCGTAAAGCCCAGAAAGTAAAGTAAGCAACCCAGAAAAGTCAGCAAGCCGGGCAGGTTTTTGGTTGGTAATTTCAGTCGGGTTTAAAGTCTGTCAAGTAAAGTCAGGAAAGGGGCCCGTAAAACAATAAAGGAAAGTCTGTCAAGTCAGGTAAGGAAGTCTTTTTAAAAGTCGGGAAAGGAAAGTCTGCCCAGTAGGAAAAGGGAAGTCTGTCAAGTCAGCAGTTATTCATCACACAAACTCGTATATTTACCTCATTCTTTTTAATTGTACAAACTGAAGCTTCATTAAGGCCACAGGTTCTCTTGTCTAATATCTCTATTTTCTTTGTTAAGTCTAAGACTTAAATGCTTATACCTTTTCTTGCCACTTTCAGCAACACTCGTATGCCTACTCGGTGCCATGATTGCTTGACAGATACAATATATGGCAGTTAAAAGATCAAAACAATTCTGTTCTAAGACAGAATCGAACTGCAAACGTATTCACAAAAGCTGGGATGGGGGTGACAGGAGTGTTGGGGATGGCAGGAGGCCTCCCCTGCTGACCCACAACAAGTGGCACCTTGAGCTGGAGAATTTTTTTTCCATGCCCATAAACGGAACCGTGTTAATTTTACTAAGTGTTACTTTTTCTCTCCACTCCAGTGAGTGCACATTTAGGACTTTAAGGCGTTTCCTGTAATTTAAATGCCTTATTGGATCTATCCGTTCCAGCTCTGATCTCTCTTCTGCCCTGAATGGAGCCATCAAAACTTAACAATATTCTAAATGAGAGCACGAGCAATTTGATAAGCGTCACCCCTGGCATTATTTCCCTTGTTTTGAAAGTTCTCATTATCCACCCCATCATCTTCCTTGCTGCTGTGACATTTGTGTTCTTTGTGTTATTGTGTTCTTTGAAAGAAAGGTTAGCCGAAATAATTACTCCCAGGTCTTGCATGTGATCCTTTAGTTCTATTTGATGGTCCTTTTGAGTTTTGTATAATCCCTTTTGTTCTTCATTCTCTCCATATCTAAGCACCTGGAACTTATCACTGTACATCATGTTCTCCACTTCCAAGGTGACTTTCGTGCTTATTTTAGTGCGATGTGCAACTGATACAAAATTGTAATAGGTGTTTTCATCTATATGCTATGAGGATAAGAAACAGCAGAAGTGCCAGCACATTATCATCGTGGGGGAGTGTTAAACCTATAGGGATTATACATCACCTGTATCTGTAGGGGAAGGGGGAATATGGAAGACATTCAGGCTCAATTCAGGGAACTGGAGCACAGATCCAAGAACCCTTCACCGTCATCAAGGAACCTCCCTTGAGGGGTGGTGCCAGGACAGTACCTTGGGAAACTGAGCTTTTCACCTCACTGATGCAGGATTTTGCTCCATTTACTACTGCTCTTAGTGTTCTCTGTTAGAAACTTGAAAATCCATCTGCCTACCTTCCATTATGCCTATGGCCCTCATTTTGTGTGCAATCACCTCATGATTGCATCTGTCAAATGGCTTTGCAAAGTCTGTGTATATCACATCTACGTTTTGGTTTTCTTCTTTTGCCTCCGCAATTCTGTCATAGTGGTTTAGTAGCTGTGACAAGCATGATGTTTCAGTACAAAATTCTTGGACACTGTGGACAAGCCTCAGATCAGGGGTCTGGACAAAAAAGGGTTAACAAGGCATTTTCATCCACAGAACTGCTCCTCTCTGGACATTGTGCTTTTCACAACATACTCTTTAAACCCTAAACTGTTCAGCATGAAAATCCCAGGAGATATCAGCAGTTTCTGATATACTCAAACCACCCTGTTTGGCACCAACAACCATTCCATGGTCACATATTTTCCCCATTCTGATGTTTGGTCTGGACAACTGAACCTATTGACCATGTTGCATGCTTTTAGGCACTAAGGTACTTCCATGTAATTGGCTGATTAGATATCTGCATTAACATGGTATACAGATGTACCTAATAAAGTGGCCACAATGTGTATATAATGTACAAGAATTAAAAAATTATTTAGAGCAGCTTACCTTTTCAGGAGCTATGATTCCTGGGCAATTAGGACCAATCAATCGGCTTTTATTCTGACGGAGGAGAGCATGTTTGACCTTGACCATGTCCTGCTGTGGGATGCCTTCTGTGATGCACACAATAAGACCTATTTCTGCTTCAACAGCTTCCAATATTGCCTTAGCAGCACCAGGGGGTGGCACATAGATCACTGTTGCATCAGCATCTGCACAAAAATTTGCAAGTTCTCAAGTTACACAGAAAACAACAAAAAGATTCTTGAAAAAAATTATATCACTGCACATTTTGTGGAAGTGCTGAACTCATAGGGGTCATGAAGTGCCTGGGGAATGGATATCCAGCCATCTGATATTAGGCAAAAGTTACTGAAGTAACTCTGAGGAATCACTGCAATTATTTTGTTTGCTACTATATGCCGCCTTTCCCCCTATCCCCCCCCCAAAAAAAAATTAAAATATTATCAGGGGTGGTTCATAAAGCCTTTTTTTTTTCAAAGAAACTTGATACATAGTCGTATTTTACATTCTACATCTTAGATTTTTCTCATAACAAATACAGTTATTCACACAAATGTTGCATCAACTTTCATGAGCAGTGTTGCATATCCTATTTGTCTCTTAGCTTTGTTCCTCTTGTCATATACTGTAATACTTTTCCAATGTTTGAGACAAGTGCATCCACACTCAATTTAAGTTTTAAAATTGGGTTATATTAGATAATATAATGGGGTTGTAAAATTTTACCCGAAGTAATCATGTGTATATTTTTTATTAAAATTTAGACTAACTCCATGGTGAGGAAATACTGTGGTACCTTGAGTTATGAACAGCTCCCAACTCAAACAATTATGTAAGTTTATTTTTGCAAGTGCTTTTGTAAGTGTATTTTTGGGGGTATGAAGCAGACTGATCTAATTTACATTATTCCTTATGGGAACAAATTTGTCCAGTATCGGCACTCGAACAGCCTTCTGGAACGAATTAAGTTCATAACTCGAGGTACCACTGTACTGTATTTACATGTGTGTATTCTATTGCTACCAAGAATTTACTGTATACTAAAATTTCCATACCTTCAGTGAAGAAAAATACAATTTAATATTTGCAGATTAATGCAAACCAATCTGTCAGAATTGCTAAACTAAAGTGCCACAATAGGAAAGTGTCAAACCGTGGCCTAGCATTTTTATTAAACAAGCTCACTTTTTATAAGAGATTTAATTCTTGGGATAAACATGCCTTAAGCTTTGCAAAGTGTACAATCTCATACACAGTACTAGCTGGTATTCCTGGCCCCTTTATGATCAGAAAGGCTATCAACAGTGAACATAACTAACAGAAGTACCTCAGTAGCTTAATTACAAAAACTGTTGTTTGTTTTAAAAGGCAATACAAGCACATTCCATTGACCCTACTTACCAGTGGCGGCTTTGGCTTCGGCAACAGTGTTGAACACTGGCAAATTGAGATGTTTCTTGCCACCCTTGCCTGGTGACACTCCCCCCACCATGAGAGTGCCATATTCAATTGCTTGGCGTGAATGAAAAGTTCCTTGCTTGCCAGTAAAACCCTGACATATGACTTTAGTAGTCTCATTGACTGCTATGTTGGGCCGTGTCACTGTGTAGCAAGACCTGGTTGCAACTGGATTAAGACCTAGGAATGAAAAATATATTATCCTGCTATGATAAAACATTAAACATTATAGTATGGCATTATGCCAACAAAAATATGTTAACGAAAAAATTAGGTACTAATTTTAAAGAAAACAAGTGCTTTGTAAATGCATAACTACCTGTGATGCCTGTGAATTAATAGTCATGTCTGTAAACCAAACCAAAGCTATTTATGAATGCAGGGAAGAAAAAATGCTTACAGTAATGCTTAAAAAATGCTTACTGTATCAAAAATTTATAGTATAATGTTAATTACATTTTATTAGGAATTTAGCTGTACTTAGAAGTAAATACCAGACAGGAATACCTGTATGTTTCTCAGCAACATAAAAGTTACAGAGTGCCACTTTAGGATATCCCAAAGATTTGCCTCCTGAAGGAAACCAATATAACAAAGATACGGTAGGTGGCTGCAAGTCCCTCCTTCACTCTTATTAGGTGGTCGTCAGTCCCTCCATCACTCTTAGTTAAGTGGCAGTCAGTCCCTCCATCACTATTAGTTAGGCGGCAGTCAGTCCCACCGTTACTCTTAGGCGGCAGTCAGTCCCTCCGTCACTCTTAGGCGGCAGTCAGTCCCTCCGTCACTCTTAGGCGGCAGTCAGTCCCTCCGTCACTCTTAGGCGGCAGTCAGTCCCTCCGTCACTCTTAGTAGGTGGTACTCAGTCCTTGTCAGTCTTAGTAGGTGGAAGTCAGTCCCTGTCAGTCTTAGTAGGTGGTAGCCAGTCCTTCGTCACTCTTAGTAGGTGGTAGTCAGTCCTTCCATCACTCTTAGTAGGTGGCAGTCAGTCCCTGTCAGTCTTAGTAGGTGGTAGTCAGTCCCTGTCAGTCTTAGTAGGTGGTAGTCAGTCCCTGTCAGTCTTAGTAGGTGGTAGTCAGTCCCTGTCAGTCTTAGTAGGTGGTAGTCAGTCCCTGTCAGTCTTAGTAGGTGGTAGTCAGTCCCTGTCAGTCTTAGTAGGTGGTAGTCAGTCCCTGTCAGTCTTAGTAGGTGGTAGTCAGTCCCTGTCAGTCTTAGTAGGTGGTAGTCAGTCACTCCATCACTCTTGTAGGTGGTAGTCAGTGCTTCTGTCACTCGTAGTTAGGCGGCAGTCAGTCCCACCGTTACTCTTAGGTGGTAGTCAGTCCCTGTCAGTCTTAGTAGGTGGTAGTCAGTCACTCCATCACTCTTGTAGGTGGTAGTCATTCCTTCTGTCACTCTTAGTTAGGTGGCAGTCAGTCCCTCCGTCACTTTTAGCTAGGCGGCAGTCAGTCCCTCCGTCCTTCTTAGTAGGTGGCAGTCAGTCCCTCAGTCACTCTTGGTAGGTGGCAGTCAGTCCCTCCACCACTCTTGGTAGGTGGTAGTCAGTCCCTGTCAGTCTTAGTAGGTGGTAGTCAGTCCCTGTCAGTCTTGGTAGGTGGTAGTCAGTCCCTGTCAGTCTTGGTAGGTGGTAGTCAGTCCCTGTCAGTCTTGGTAGGTGGTAGTCAGTCCCTGTCAGTCTTGGTAGGTGGTAGTCAGTCCGTCAGTCTTGGTAGGTGGTAGTCAGTCCCTGTCAGTCTTAGTAGGTGGTAGTCAGTCCCTGTCAGTCTTAGTAAGTGGTAGTCAGTCCCTGTCAGTCTTAGTAGGTGGTAGTCAGTCCCTGTCAGTCTTAGTAGGTGGTAGTCAGTCCCTGTCAGTCTTGGTAGGTAGTAGTCAGTCCCTGTCAGTCTTAGTAGGTGGTAGTCAGTCCCTGTCAGTCTTAGTAGGTGGTAGTCAGTCCCTGTCAGTCTTAGTAGGTGGTAGTCAGTCCCTGTCAGTCTTAGTAGGTGGTAGTCAGTCCCTGTCAGTCTTAGTAGGTGGTAGTCAGTCCCTGTCAGTCTTAGTAGGTGGTAGTCAGTCCCTGTCAGTCTTAGTAGGTGGTAGTCAGTCCTGTCAGTCTTAGTAGGTAGTAGTCAGTCCCTGTCAGTCTTGGTAGGTGGTAGTCGGTCCCTGTCAGTCTTGGTAGGTGGTAGTCGGTCCCTGTCAGTCTTGGTAGGTGGTAGTCGGTTCCTGTCAGTCTTGGTAGGTGGTAGTCGGTCGCTGTCAGTCTTAGTAGGTGGTAGTCAGTCCCTGTCAGTCTTGGTAGGTGGTAGTCAGTCCCTGTCAGTCTTGGTAGGTGGTAGTCAGTCCCTGTCAGTCTTAGTAGGTGGTAGTCGGTCCCTGTCAGTCCCTGTCAATCTTAGTAGGTGGTAGTCAGTCCCTGTCAGTCTTAGTAGGTGGTAGTCAGTCCCTCCATCACTCTTGTAGGTGGGAGTCAGTCCTTCCATCACTCGTAGTTAGGCGGCAGTCAGTCCCACCATTACTCTTAGGTGGTAGTCAGTCCCTCCATCACTCTTGTAGGTGGTAGTCAGTCCTTCCGTCACTCTTAGTTAAGCGGCAGTCAGTCCCTCCGTCACTTTTAGCTAGGCGGCAGTCAGTCCCTCCGTCCTTCTTAGTAGGTGGTAGTCAGTCCCTCCGTCACTCTTGGTAGGTGGCAGTCAGTCCCTCCGTCACTCTTGGTAGGTGGCAGTCAGTCCCTCCACCACTCTTGGTAGGTGGTAGTCAGTCCCTGTCAGTCTTAGTAGGTGGTAGTCAGTCCCTGTCAGTCTTAGTTGGTAGTAGTCAGTCCCTGTCAGTCTTAGTAGGTGGTAGTCAGTCCCTGTCAGTCTTAGTAGGTGGTAGTCAGTCCCTGTCAGTCTTGGTAGGTGGTAGTCAGTCCCTGTCAGTCTTGGTAGGTGGTAGTCAGTCCCTGTCAGTCTTAGTAGGTGGTAGTCAGTCCCTCCATCACTCTTGTAGGTGGTAGTCATTCCTTCTGTCACTCTTAGTTAAGCGGCAGTCAGTCCCTCCGTCCTTCTTGGTAGGTGGTAGTCATTCCTTCTGTCACTTTTAGCTAGGCGGCAGTCAGTCCCTCCGTCCTTCTTGATAGGTGGTAGTCAGTCCCTCCACCACTGTTGGTGGGTGGTAGTCATTCCCTGTCAGTCTTAGTAGGCGGTAGTCAGTCCCTGTCAGTCTTGGTAGGCGGTAGTCAGTCCCTGTCAGTCTTGGTAGGCGGTAGTCAGTCCCTGTCAGTCTTGGTAGGCGGTAGTCAGTCCCTGTCAGTCTTGGTAGGCGGTAGTCAGTCCCTGTCAGTCTTGGTAGGCGGTAGTCAGTCCCTGTCAGTCTTGGTAGGCGGTAGTCAGTCCCTGTCAGTCTTGGTAGGCGGTAGTCAGTCCCTGTCAGTCTTGGTAGGCGGTAGTCAGTCCCTGTCAGTCTTGGTAGGCGGTAGTCAGTCCCTGTCAGTCTTGGTAGGCGGTAGTCAGTCCCTGTCAGTCTTGGTAGGCGGTAGTCAGTCCCTGTCAGTCTTGGTAGGCGGTAGTCAGTCCCTGTCAGTCTTGGTAGGCGGTAGTCAGTCCCTGTCAGTCTTGGTAGGCGGTAGTCAGTCCCTGTCAGTCTTGGTAGGCGGTAGTCAGTCCCTGTCAGTCTTGGTAGGCGTAGTCAGTCCCTGTCAGTCTTGGTAGGCGGTAGTCAGTCCCTGTCAGTCTTGGTAGGCGGTAGTCAGTCCCTGTCAGTCTTGGTAGGCGGTAGTCAGTCCCTGTCAGTCTTGGTAGGCGGTAGTCAGTCCCTGTCAGTCTTGGTAGGCGGTAGTCAGTCCCTGTCAGTCTTGGTAGGCGGTAGTCAGTCCCTGTCAGTCTTGGTAGGCGGTAGTCAGTCCCTGTCAGTCTTGGTAGGCGGTAGTCAGTCCCTGTCAGTCTTGGTAGGCGGTAGTCAGTCCCTGTCAGTCTTGGTAGGCGGTAGTCAGTCCCTGTCAGTCTTGGTAGGCGGTAGTCAGTCCCTGTCAGTCTTGGTAGGCGGTAGTCAGTCCCTGTCAGTCTTGGTAGGCGGTAGTCAGTCCCTGTCAGTCTTGGTAGGCGGTAGTCAGTCCCTGTCAGTCTTGGTAGGCGGTAGTCAGTCCCTGTCAGTCTTGGTAGGCGTTAGTCAGTCCCTGTCAGTCTTGGTAGGCGGTAGTCAGTCCCTGTCAGTCTTGGTAGGCGGTAGTCAGTCCCTGTCAGTCTTGGTAGGCGGTAGTCAGTCCTGTCAGTCTTGGTAGGCGGTAGTCAGTCCCTGTCAGTCTTGGTAGGCGGTAGTCAGTCCCTGTCAGTCTTGGTAGGCGGTAGTCAGTCCCTGTCAGTCTTGGTAGGCGGTAGTCAGTCCCTGTCAGTCTTGGTAGGCGGTAGTCAGTCCCTGTCAGTCTTGGTAGGCGGTAGTCAGTCCCTGTCAGTCTTGGTAGGCGGTAGTCAGTCCCTGTCAGTCTTGGTAGGCGGTAGTCAGTCCCTGTCAGTCTTGGTAGGCGGTAGTCAGTCCCTGTCAGTCTTGGTAGGTGGTAGTCAGTCCCTGTCAGTCTTGGTAGGTGGTAGTCAGTCCCTGTCAGTCTTGGTAGGTGGTAGTCAGTCCCTGTCAGTCTTGGTAGGTGGTAGTCAGTCCCTGTCAGTCTTGGTAGGTGGTAGTCAGTCCCTGTCAGTCTTGGTAGGTGGTAGTCAGTCCCTGTCAGTCTTGGTAGGTGGTAGTCAGTCCCTGTCAGTCTTGGTAGGTGGTAGTCAGTCCCTGTCAGTCTTGGTAGGTGGTAGTCAGTCCCTGTCAGTCTTGGTAGGTGGTAGTCAGTCCCTGTCAGTCTTGGTAGGTGGTAGTCAGTCCCTGTCAGTCTTGGTAGGTGGTAGTCAGTCCCCACGTCAAAACAACTTTCACTGTCTGCAGTCTTATTCGCCTATATTTGACTGAAGAGTCCTGTTGAGCAGGCGAAACTTCTCGGCATTAAAAATACCCAGTTACTGCACAAGTATCTTAACCATAAAGGAAGGGGAAGGCAAGTCTAGTTCCTTGGATCAAGAGCCTCTCACCGGCATCTATGAACCTCCATAAGAACACCTAACAGCTGAAGACAAGACAATTTCGTTGGTTTTCTTAAATGAACGAATCTTTTTTGTTATCATTAAATCATCGCACTCATGACTGATAATCCAGGTGAATGAGAGCAAGAGGTTACTCACCGGTGATGCGGGCGAGAACACGGACGGTGGCAGCCATTTTCCCAGTGTTGTGGTTGTGACGTCATCATCAGCTGGGTGGTGACGTCATCAGCTGCGTCGTGACGTCATCAGCTGCGTCGTGACGTCATCATCAGCTGGTACAACACCCGCCAAACTTAAATATTTACATTAGTAAGTAAGTAAGTAAGTAAGTAAGTAAGTAAATTTATTCAGGTATACACAATACAGTTACATAGAATTATCATACATAGCAGCATATGTGTAGAGAACCTAGGATAACCCAAAAAAGTCAGACAGAGTGACTTATTTCCATTGGGGTCCTTTTACCTTATTATTATAATATAAAGGTTATAATATTTTCTTATTATTCTATAATGAAGATAACATCTTATTATCATTACTGTCTCCTGGGGCCGTATGGCACGGACTCATTCAACCTAATAATTAAATTGTATTTCATGAAGCGCTAAATCCGTGTGGGTTATTCAGTGAAATACGAGACAAGACACACCCTGTCAGTACTTCCTTCTTGTACTGTCTCTAAAATTTCGTTCAGATTTTTAACCCCGGAGGGTTAGCCACCTAGGAGAACCCAAGAAAGTCAGTGCGTCATCGAGGACTGTCTAACTTATTTCCATTGTGGTCCTCAATCTTGTCCTCCAGGATGCGACCCACACCAGTCGACTAACACCCAGGTACTATTTACTGCTAGGTGAACAGGACAACAGGTGTAAGAAAACACGTTGAATGTTTCCTCTCACCAGGAATCGAACCGGAGCCCTCCGTGTGTGAAGCGTGAGCTTCAGCCACCAGGCCACCGGGGCACTCTAGAACTTATCATATAAGCTTGTTTATAAACTGTGTACCTCCACTCTCTTATTACTAGTCATAGTCACCACTACACACAGCAGTCACCACTACACAGCAGTCACCACTATACACAATAGTCACCACTACACAGCAGTCACCACTACACACAATAGTCACCACTACACACAGCAGTTACCACTACACAATATGACTCAGTTTTTAGCAAGCCGATAACCAGACTGAGAGTCGAAGATCAAAATTAATTTTTTATGAGAGAGCCACAGAATTTGGTTAACACAAGCCTATCCAATGTTATCCTGACGCCAAATGACTTCGAACAGGCGATAAATGACATGCCCATGCACTCTGCCCCAGGACCATACTCATGGAACTCCGCGTTCATCAAGAACTGCAAGAAGCCCCTATCACGAGCCTTTTCCATCCTATGGAGAGGGAGCATGGACACGGGGGTCGTCCCACAGTTACTAAAAACAAGAGACATAGCCCCACTCCACAATGGGGGCAGTAAAGCAACAGCAAAGAACTACAGACCGATAGCACTAATATCCCATATCATAAAAATATTTGAAAGGGTACTAAGAAGCAAGATCACCACCCATCTAGAAACCCATCAGTTACAAAACCCAGGGCAACATGGGTTTAGAACAGGTCGCTCCTGTCTGTCTCAACTATTGGATCACTATGACAGGGTCATAGATGCACTACATAGAGGCCTGGTCACAGACCGGGCTGCGGGGGCGTTGACCCCCGAAACTCTCTCCAGGTAAACTCCAGGAAGACAAAAAGAATGCAGATGTAATGTATACAGACTTTGCAAAAGCCTTCGACAAGTGTGACCATGGCGTAATAGCGCACAAAATGCGTGCTAAAGGAATAACAGGAAAAGTCGGTCGATGGATCTATAATTTCCTCACTAACAGAACACAGAGAGTAGTCGTCAACAGAGTAAAGTCCGAGACAGCTACTGTGAAAAGCTCTGTTCCACAAGGCACAGTACTCGCTCCCATCTTGTTCCTCATCCTCATATCTGACATAGACAAGGATGTTAGCCACAGCACCGTGTCTTCCTTTGCAGATGACACCCGAATCTGCATGACAGTGTCTTCCATTGCAGACACTGCAAGGCTCCAGGCAGACATCAACCAAATCTTTCAGTGGGCTGCAGAAAACAATATGAAGTTCAACGATGAGAAATTTCAATTACTCAGATATGGTAAACACGAGGAAATTAAATCTTCATCAGAGTACAAAACAAATTCTGGCCACAAAATAGAGCGAAACACCAACGTCAAAGACCTGGGAGTGATCATGTCGGAGGATCTCACCTTCAAGGACCATAACATTGTATCAATCGCATCTGCTAGAAAAATGACAGGATGGATAATGAGAACCTTCAAAACTAGGGAAGCCAAGCCCATGATGACACTCTTCAGGTCGCTTGTTTCTATCAAGGCTGGAATATTGCTGCACACTAACAGCACCTTTCAAGGCAGGTGAAATTGCTGACCTAGAAAATGTACAGAGAACCTTCACGGCACGCATAATGGAGATAAAACACCTCAATTACTGGAGCGCTTGAGGTTCCTAAACCTGTATTCCCTGGAACACAGGCGGGAGAGATACATGATATATACACCTGGAAAATCCTAGAGGGACTAGTACCGAACTTGCACACGAAAATCACTCACTACGAAAGTGTCAGGGGCCCGAGACTGTTCAACTGCCTCCCAGCATACATAAGGGGATTACCAACAGACCCCTGGCAGTCTTAAAGATGGCACTGGACAAGCACCTAAAGTGGGTTCCTGACCAGCCGGCGGGTGGCTCTTTACGTTGTTTTGCGGTAGCCAGCAGTAAAAAAACCCAAATTCTTGGGGGGAAAAACCATTATAAAAATGAGTAAAAAAGGGAAATTTTGTCAGTCCTAGCAAGTTTACTCCCAGGGGGGAATAAAAGGCCTGTCCCGTGTGAAAAAAAAAAAATTTTAAAACTTTGTGTCAAGGAAAAAAAGCCCCCCTCCCTAAAAGCATTGAGGATACATAGGGGAAAAGTTTTATACACAGGGGCCCCCCTAGAAATTTTTGGATATAAAGGCTAAAGTGTCATTTGAAAACGGGGAAAATTTGTAAATGAAGTGATAAGCCTATAGAGGCAGGTGCCAGAAGTCGCCAAAACTTACCACAGGCACTTTTTTTTTAATAATCTTCCGGGCCTCTATTTTAAACCTCCCCAATAAAATTTCAAAGTGTACCAGTGAATAGCAGAATACAGTGTTGTAGAAAGCAACTAACCAGTATTAAAATTGGTACTTTGAAGTGGAGTGTTTTTCATTAGTTTTTTTTTTTGAAAAAACCAGACTTTCTGTAAATTTTTCATATAACCGTATTTCCCAGCGGTCCAATTACACAACAAAAGGGAAATTATTACTACAGAAAAACCCCCTTTCCCCCAAAATTTTGCACCAGTCAACTATAGGATAATATACTTTTAATTGCGGTGGAGAGGGAAAAAAAAAAATAGAGAAGCTAGATACACAGTTGATAAACAAAGGTGGGGGCCCTCGACCTTTTCGTCATTTTTGGGGAGTGCCACATTCACCGGCACTTCAACACGCAAGTTATACTTTTGAAACAATCAAATCACTTTTTACCCCGGGTAGAAAATTTTCCCCATTAATCCTTAAATGTTTTTAGCTAAAAAATCACCGACCATTTGGTTTAAATAATTTGACCCACTGATCAAAACAATAAAACGGGTCCGAACCCTTGACTGGTCCAAACCCCTTTGACGGGTCCAAACCCCTTTGACTGGTCCGAACCCTTAAAGGGGGTCCAACCCCCGGGGACGGGTTTTCAAACGTTTCGTTGTCCCAACCACCTGCGGGGTTTTTAATAGAATTTTCCAAAGGGGTTTTGGCTAGTAAAAAATTGCAGTAAATAAAACCATTCAAATCTTTATGAAGCTGTTTTAGCCCTGGGTCAGTAAAACAAAGGGGGCTTCCACATGCAAAAAAAGGGTAAATTTTCTGGGGAAAATTTGGGGTGCCCCACGCCCCTTGTGCAGATATCCAAGAACTAGCTAAAGCAGTATTAAAACGGGGAAGTGTTTTTTGGGGTTCCCCAAAAATGAGATAAATCTGGGACAAAATCACAAGGGTTTTAAAAAAGGGGTAAAACATCAAAGCTGTTTTTCATAGAAAACCTGAAGCTTTCTACAACAGAGGGGGAACAAAAAAAACCCGGGGGCTGAAGGGGTTACTCCCCTTTTGATCCCTGGCCATGGTATTCAAAACTTTAAGGCTGGAATGATGTCCTGGAAGTCAAAAAAGGGGGGGCCCTGTTTAAGTGCTTTCCTGGAAAAAGTAATGGGGAACTGGGGGTGCTGCCCCTGGAAAACAGTAATGGTAAAGCTGGGGGTGCTGCCTTTGGGGACAAAAAATGGTGAAGCGGGAGATGCGTCCTGGGAGCAGTAATGGGGAAGCGGAAGGGCTGCCCCCTGGGAACAGAAAAAGGGTGAAGCTGGAGATTTTGTCCGGGTAGTGGGGAAATTTAAAATACCCCAGGGGGAAATTACAAAAGAATGACCCCCATAGGGGACAGGAGCCATAGTAGGGAAACAAGTGTAGTCAAAGAAAAGAAAAAACCAATAGCAAACTAGAAATACCGCAGAAATAGAAAACAAGAGGACCCCAAATACAATAGGAAATATATTACCAAAAAAAAATGGTGGGAGCTCCTTGTTGGTGCTAGGGGGGATAGAAGAAAAGACGGGGAAACTTGCACCAACGGGAATACACCCACAAAAACCCAAAGGGCCCAAACGGAAACCATCCTTTTCAAAATACTTTTGCACTCGGTATCTGCTGGCAGGGGAAATCTGGAAAAAAAGGGGAAACTTTGGCAACTATGACCCCCCTTTGGGAAAAGGCCACCCCCCATATGAAAACCCAGGAAAATGCAAACTCCCTTCCTGTAAGTTTTTTTCCCCCCTGAACTTTTGTACCTCTTCAGTACAGGAAAGACTGTGTTTAAAATTTTTTAAATTTCCCAAGCATCCCATCTAAAGGGGACAAAAAGATAAAAAACATCCGGCCAGGGAAAACCGGGGTAGCCACACCACTCAAGGGGGAAAAGGTTTTTTTTAGTCCCAGGAAGGAAAAAAAACTGGCAGGAAAGGGGCAGAAATCGTACCCCAAATCCATCTTTCCCCTGGAGGGAAAAACCAGCGAGGGCCCTCCACCCCAAAAACCCAACAGATACAGAAACTAATGGGGGGAAAAAAAAAATCCCACCCCAGTCCAACAAACCA